TTTTTTTTTTTTTTTTTTATTGAGAGTTTAGTGGCTTCTATTCCTTTAGGAATCTACAGCCATCTATAGGCACTATTTATTGTCCGAAGACATCAGGTAGTTTTGGTAGACATCCATGCTCGGGCTTACAAATTTTCACGGATTAAGGCCGAGCGAATTCTGCTTACAGATCCACTCGTCAGTTCCATGAAAATTTGTCGCCACCACCGGGATTCGAACCCGGGACCTATTGACCTAGAGTCAGACGCGCTAACCACTAGGCCAACCTGGCCGGCAACCTGAAATTTAACTTCTGGAGTCGGCGCTCACCATCCATCGCGCGGTTTTACAAGTTGTTTTCAAATTCTAACTGTTTTGAAAAATTGAAGGACCCGCTCCTTCTTTCAATAAATTCTTCTTTCGACGCACATATAAGTTCGCAAACTTTTCAAAGGTTTAATCCTTGGAGTTTACAGATTCTAATCATACCCAGTTTGATGGGTTTTATGCTACCCTTACCTCCACAGCTATGCCAACAGATCCGACTTTCAGAACAGCAATAAACGATACTTAATTAGCGGCTCTGGTGCTTGCACTAGAGCTGCTATTCCGGACGGTCCCAGCTGGGGAGTATCATTGGACCATGTTACATTGGAGAGACCGCGCGTTGGTTGATGGGAATCGGCGCCATTTTCTGCTGTTTAGGGGGGACTGATTTTATTTTAATTGATATCTTTTTCCTGTGAGCGAATGCTATGTTGTGTAGTGTATTTTTGGAATCATGGTGATACTGTCAATAATTCAAAACGGGTCTGTGCTTTAATCTCGCACTGGAAAAAATGTACTTTACGTTTAAAATTTGAAAATTCAAATCTATAAGTTTTCGCGCTTTTTTCGAAGAATGCCGTGGTTGGAGCTTCCTAGTCATACTACTCGACATCAGCTGATAGCAAACAAAGGTTACCAAGGAAACCGTAAACGCGTAACAACTACCGTCGCCAGAGCCGCTTTCCGACGCGAATGCGTTGGAGCTTCCTGCTTGTTATTAATTGTTCTCGATTACACCTCAAGAATACGAAATTTCCACAAAAAAATCAGTTTTAGTTTATGTAACGCTGATTCAAAATATCTATACTTTTATGGGGTTTTTTTCTACGGTTATGCTGTAAAGTCAGTGAACTAAACACGATGGTCTCTCCCGCGGCCGGGCGTTTTCGCGGGTCTCGAATCTGCCCCGAATCTGCTCATCTGCTCAGCGATTGGTCAATCCGTCATCGTCATGTTTTGGGGTCCAAAATTTGTCGTTAAAGCTAAATAACTTTTTTAATATTTAAGTAAAATTAAAAAAACGAGGGCATTAAGAGTAGAGCTGAGCATACTCTATCCAAATATTATAGGGTTTTTGGGGTTTACTCTCCGACTTAATTAGTAGGAGAGCTTAATGGACCGCAAACCGTGCAGAAAAGCCCGGTCGCGTTGTAAAACTAGTTAGGCAGCAGCCACCCGTCTTTTTTTTTTTTTTTTTTTTTTTTTTTTTTTTGGTCGTCATTTTTTAGGGGGAGTTTTTTAGGATTAGGCCGGGGTGGCTGCCGCCACCTAGAATTACCGCGCCGACGTGGCTACCATCACACCGAATTTTTAACTTTTCCATACCAGTTCGGTCACCTGAAGATGGGCGGCCTGCCCAAAATGGCCATTCATATAAGTATAATCGGCATGCCTTGATTTACCTACTTGCCGCCCAAGGGCCGCCTATATTTTGCCACCCTCTTCTCATTCATTTCGAAACATCAATGAAAACCATCAAGTGAACGTGCTGGAGGAAGAAGGGTGCATAAGACGCGTTCACTCGTGTTGGACACATTTTTTGCGTAAGCCCTGTCAGCACTACTAGCAAAAGTTCTCGTAACTTCGCGCAAAAGTTCAGTTCCGTAAACCTATCTCTGTGTGGACGAGGCCTTTCATTTGTAAGAAATGAACTAAAAAATTAAGAAAGAACAAACATAAATGTGGTTCAATAATTTTAACTTCCGCCGCCGGACCGCGCTGATTACGCTGTGTATGGCGCAATGCGTGAAGTATTCATGTAGTCTTGTAGGCGCTGTGCGTTTCACGCCGCGCCGCGCCGACGCTGTTGACCGTACTGTGTTTGACGCAATGCGTGAAGTATTCATGCAGTCTTGTAGGCGCTAATGTGTGTTACATGCCGACCGCCGCGCCGCACCGAGGGCTTCTCCTTTTCATCTCAAGTCCTCGTCATCATTTCTCTCTGCGCCGTGCCGCTCCAGGCCAAATTGCGTGTTTGGTTTTTCTCTTAACTCAACGAATTAAAGGTGCGCAGTCTTTTGTATCACCAAAATACGACAAAATTAAAAATTAATGTACTCTCAGGAAATGAGATATTTTGTCACCTAATCTTGTTTGTAATTTTTTTCTGAATCCGAATTTTTTGTACCTGCATTTAAAAAAATTACAAAATTTGCCGCCCCCTAATTTTGCCGCCATGAGCCGCGGCCCATGTGGCCCATCCGGCCCTGTAATCTGTTTTTGAGAAAACTTTAATTTGTATAGAAAAAAGTGTTCATAGTGCCGATTAAGTGTTAGAAAAATTGTGCAGTATGCAACAACATAGAGACTCATTTAGACTGCAACCTTGGAGTGTCCGTGCAAAGTGGCAACCCTGTTTTTGTATTTGCTCCATATCTGTTCATTGACAGTTTTGACATTTTTGAAAAACTTTAGTACTAAGGACTCATAGCAAAACTGTTTCAAAGTAAATTTCAGAAAATAGCTAGTCTTGAAATTTCAGTTTCCAGTCCCGATACAACATTTAACATCTGCCGTTTTCTTTTTAAACTGAATTTTCACCTCCTTTCTTATCACGTGACCTTAATAAACGTGCCTTTGTGCATAAATATGATTCTACGTAAAAGCGATATAGTATTGATAGTCCGAGAGCCGGACGATATTAGTGACAAACTGGTAACACATGTTTTGACCATTTAAATTGATAGCTTAACATGGACTGACATAGAAAATGGTCGTCTGCCAAGTTGTAGTGTGTGCTATTACGTGGCAGACAAGCATTTTCCGTGCAAGCGGTCAAAGCTTGTCCCACTTGGTCATAAATATAGCCGAGTTTTCGGGCTATATAACTATCAACTAGCTTAGTTCTTAAGCCTTGGGGTTCTCCTCAAATTTTTAATCAACGCGAATGTTAATGTGATGAATGTGATGTTGATTATATCTTAAAATTAATACAAATTTACTTTCTCTCAGTTTTATGTGTCAGGAGTTTTCGAATCAGAAGGCTGCTCGAACTCGTACAGACATATGAATCATGCTGTGACAATCGTCGGTCACTATGAAGGTATTACCTACGCACCTACTTGTTAATTGACCCACATTTTTGGCCATTCTTAAGCAGTAAATGCTTACTCAGCAGCCTGCGTCACTCTATCGAACTACTCCGTCAAAATGTCAAGGTAAAGTGCTGAGATTGGTCCAAGTCATCAAATAAGCCAATCACAACACTTGACCTTGATATTTTGATGGCTAGCTTTGATCATGGGAAACAGGCTAATACTGCCGTGCTAAGGAGGAACGCCGTATGAAAATTCGAGAGTTGCCAAATTTCCTTCGATAAAACGTTTACTTTTGAGAAAAATTATAAATATTTATTCTTGAAATTTTCAGATACTTCGGATCAAATTACAAAGAAAATTACCTCAGAAATTGGCAGAAAAATATTCAAACATTTTCCTGAAAAATTAGTGATTTGCCAGGGTTAATTTGGCAACGCCTGAGGGTTCACGCGGCGTTTTTCCTTAGCACGGCAAAATGAATGAATTATCGTTTTAATACATGACCATCCAAGAAAACCAGACTGTCTTACTGGGGAAAAACGACGTATGAGCATTCGATATACTTGCCAAATCCCTCCCCCCCCCCTTCCCAAAAAATTGTTTTCTGAGAAAATTTGAGGATTTTTCTCCATCAAGATTTTCAGGTATACAGATTAAATTACGCAAAAATTGCATAAAAAAATAGGGAAAAAATATCCCGACTTTCCCAGTAAATTCATTTTTTATTGAAGGAAGTATGACAACGTCTGAAGGCATATACGGCATGTGTTCTTAACATGGCAGTAGAGCTAAGTCCACACAAAATCAAAAATAAGTTACCGCATATTATCAAAGCATAGGAGGGCATCCTAAGTGAATTTAGAACAAAATCTAAACACCAACAAATGTCGACCCGAACTGGAATGAGGCGGTTTAAAGTTTCCAGCTCAAATAATGTGGGTTTGAGATAAAATGATTATCCCAATGTTGTTTTAGTTTTGTATACATTTCAAATAAATGTGTTTTTTCGAATACATAACTATAAGCGCATCCCGGCAGGCTTGTTGCCTATGCCGCAAACTGAAGGAACTTCCTCACGTTGACGATGTCTGAGGATAAGACATTTCGAAGGTGGGTGAAACGTGAAACTACCAGAACTTGTATCTCGTTTGCTGTTTTTAATAATCTCCGCTCTCAATTTGATTTTTTAAAGGAGAACAGATCAATAGCAATTTTTGACATTTTCACAGACTTTTCTCGGCACAGGAATATAAAACACGGAAGATTTCAAAAATTGAGGCGTTGGGTGCAGAGATTTTTTGTTGCGGTGTTTCAGGATCTCCGGTGCTAATTTTTATTCCAGAGGGAAAACTATTGGGTGAATTCTCGTAAAGTATAATAATGTTTAATGATTCCAATAATGTAATTGTTTTGGGATGTGATTCAGGTACTGATGATTTATATTGGGATTAAATGTTTTGAAATGTTCTCTGATAAAATACGAATTTCCAAGAGATTTTTTTGAATAGTTTTCCTTGAAATTTCGTCGCTTCTCTGACGTGAGGACGTATCTTGATTTCCGTATAAGCCCCAGAAAGTATGGTTTTATATGTACGACGTGGCTCAAGTGGAAATTGAGGTACGCCCTTACGTCAGAGGAGCAACGATATGTGGAGGGTTTTTTACGGTTTAATCCAAAACACCTGACAGTTTTATGGTAAGATAATCATAACCCTCCGAAAATAATATTAAAAAGACGTTTAATATATTTAATTATTTCCTTAAATTTTGATTTCAGACGCTTGGATAGTCCGGAATAGTTGGGGCCCCGAGTTTGGTTTGCAGGTAAATATTTAGGTAGTTTGGTACGAATTCAAGGCAGTGGCGATTTTGCAAGTTGGCTACATTGTTTTTTCTCCGCTTAAATCCATTGAAAATATCGATTTTATGTAAGGCAAGCTGTCTTACCAAGAATCGATTGTTTTACATATATTTAAATGGAGAAGAAAAAGGTTGCCAACCTTCCAGAATCGCTCTGGTGTTGGGAAATAGTGTCTGATAAAATACGGTCTTTCTTCAAAAATAAACAGTTCGCAAGTGGGAATTTGGCAACGCTTGATGGTTCATACAGCGTTTTTCCAAAGCAGCTAGATGCACGCCTCAAGCTATACTGCCGTGCTAAGAAAGAACACCGTATGAGCCTTCAAATGTTGCCAATTTTCTTTGACAAATCACGGATTTTCAAGAAAATTTGGGAATATTTATCTTTTGATTTATCAGAGAATTTTTTTCGTAATTTGATCTGAAGTCTCTGAAAATTTCAAGGAAGAATATTCATAACTCTCTTCAAAAATAAACAGTTCCCAAGTAATTTGGCAACACTTGATGGTTACGGCGCGTTTTTCCTAAGCACGGCATATCAAAAACATTTCACGATTTAACTGTGTTCTTCTTTTTTTTTCAGGGTCATTATCTACTCAAAAAAGGTACCTGTGCGGCCGGAAAATATTGCATGACGGTGAAAGGGCCATTTAAGGTATTGGAATAAAGAAGTCTCACGCAGTTGATATCTTAAAGTTGTTCCAAGGATATGTCCAAGCAGAGGAAACCTATTTTTAAAAACATACATGCAATAAAATAACTGAAAAACTAATGACGTACATCTCGTTGCTTTGCTCATTGTCAGTCAATAATTTTATTCCACTTCCTTTTGCAAATAGATTTAATTGGACGTATTTCTGTCAAACGGAACTAAGCGCCAATTTGAGTTCCTTTTGAGGAATTTAGATTGTCGGATAGCGCGTTCTGTCAAACCGAACTAAGCGCCATGGAAAAGCATTGCGAGCATAGGACGGAATGAGCCCGACGCCCGATTTTGCTGCCAATCCAAGCCCCCCTCTACCTTCCTCATCCTATGGCGCTTAGTTCCGTTTGACAGAAATACGTCCAATTATGTCTAATACATCCTGCCTTCACATTATACCATGCGACGATGCAATCTGTGCTGCACTGTACACCTGGTTGGTCTTTTCTCATCGTTGCTCTATTCTATACGCAGTTCAATTGGACGTATTTCTGTCGAACGGAACTAAGCGCCATCGGGGGAGGAAGGTGGAGGGGAGCTTGGATTGGCGGCGAAGCCGGGCGTCAGGCTCATTCCGTCCTATACTCGCAATGCTTTCCCATAGCGCTTAGTTCCGTTGACAGAACGCGCTATCCGGCATTCTAAATTCCTCAAAAGGAACTCAAATTGGCGCTTAGGTCCGTTTGACAGAAATACGTCCAATTTGTCTTCCATTCATTTCGTATGTGCATTTGACATATGCCAGTAAAAAATACGAAATGTGTAACAAATTCTCTGTTGGATAAAGTTTTTTTTTTTTTTTTTTTTTTTTTTTTAAACCTGCTGCAGAGAGGCTTTTATTTTGAATTTTTTCAACTTCTTTGACGTTCATCTCGCTCTTCAAACATCTGGGAAGGATTGAACTCTTATCGCTTCATGCTGTTTTAGCACCTAGGATGTCAAAAATGTGTCTGGTGATCCTAAGAAAACCCCAAAAAACTTTCAGATTCTAAGGGGTAAAGAATCCGGCCAAAGTCTTAAACTTGTTGAACCAAATTTTCTTATTACTCCTAAAAGAAAATTAAAAATTATACTTTACTGAAAATCGAATGTGGGCCCCTTCATAAACGAGTGATACAACATTCACTGCATGTGTGTATGTGAACCTCTTGTAGTTTTGTAGGAGCCCAAGCGGTTCGCTCGCTCTTTGCAACAAACGCTACATTCGTGAATGGAAAGTCCTTGAAGGAGCACATAACGTCCTTTTTCTTTCTTTAACTTTTGCATTTTTTATTCAGAATCTTCGTAAAATCAAAAAGAAAAGTATGGACTGATCTGAGCCTTATATGTGCTCTAAAACAATATGAAATATTTTATCGCACAAAGTCGAACTGTAGATCGAATGTAGCCCCTTCATTTATGAGTGATGCAACAGTCATGACGTGTAAGTATGTGTAGCCCTTGCGGGAGCCCCCTTCCTCACCTATTTGCATTTTTATCTAAAGTACAAAAAAAAAATCGGTATGGATTGATCGGAGCCTTCTGTGCTCCAAAATAATATGAAATATTTTATCGCACAAAGTCCAATATTTTTCGATTCAGGTCCTACAAATGCTTTTAAAAGAGCATGAAAAAAAAAATACTCAATCACCTGGCGAAAGTCCAGTATTTTTCTTGAGAATAGTCTCCTCCTTCAATGAGTGATGCAATAATTGCGACATTTTTGTATGAAAAGCCCTTGCAGAAGCCTTTTTATTTGACTCAGCTAAATTTTGAAGAATCACTGACGTGTCCGCAAAAATTCTCTTACTGTAATCATTAGTATTTGTCCCCTCTGCATGCTGGAAGATTGCTTGCAGTGTATTTTTTGAGCGCATCAGTCTTCCTTTGCTTTCTCCCAAAACTTATTTATTGTATAATATTTTTAATCTCAACTTATGATGCATAAATAATGATGATTAGTATAATAATAGATAAAGTTAATAATGATATAGTTAATAATGATGAGTATTGATGATTTTAATATGCATGTAAATGGTAGCTATTATAACATTGTATCCTACACCACTGCATAATGAACTGATCGTCATGAAAAGGACTCTGGATTACCCGGATAATCATGGTTGAAAAGAGCGTTTTTTTTTTTTACGCAGAGTAGAATAGGTAAGAGGGTTTTGACATGGATCCTCAGATATTTCTATGAAGCATTAATTTCAGTGACCTATCTTTTTTACGCATTTTTGCGGACACGTCAGTGATTCTTCAAAATTTAGCTGAGTCAAATAAAAAGGCTTCTGCAAGGGCTTTTCATACAAAAATGTCGCAATTATTGCATCACTCATTGAAGGAGGAGACTATTCTCAAGAAAAATACTGGACTTTCGCCAGGTGATTGAGTATTTTTTTTTTCATGCTCTTTTAAAAGCATTTGTAGGACCTGAATCGAAAAATATTGGACTTTGTGCGATAAAATATTTCATATTATTTTGGAGCACAGAAGGCTCCGATCAATCCATACCGATTTTTTTTTTGTACTTTAGATAAAAATGCAAATAGGTGAGGAAGGGGGCTCCCGCAAGGGCTACACATACTTACACGTCATGACTGTTGCATCACTCATAAATGAAGGGGCTACATTCGATCTACAGTTCGACTTTGTGCGATAAAATATTTCATATTGTTTTAGAGCACATATAAGGCTCAGATCAGTCCATACTTTTCTTTTTGATTTTACGAAGATTCTGAATAAAAAATGCAAAAGTTAAAGAAAGAAAAAGGACGTTATGTGCTCCTTCAAGGACTTTCCATTCACGAATGTAGCGTTTGTTGCAAAGAGCGAGCGAACCGCTTGGGCTCCTACAAAACTACAAGAGGTTCACATACACACATGCAGTGAATGTTGTATCACTCGTTTATGAAGGGGCCCACATTCGATTTTCAGTAAAGTATAATTTTTAATTTTCTCTTACGAGTAATAAGAAAATTTGGTTCAAGAAGTTTAAGACTTTGGCCGGATTCTTTACCCCTTAGAATCTGAAAGTTTTTTGGGGTTTTTTGTAGTTTTTATATCAGGTCGTTTTTGGAATGATGTGAAGCTAATAAAACATTTGGCTGGAGACAGAGAAACTGAGAATAATTTTTTCAATGAGCAGAACTGGAACTCCTTGTTTGATCAACTAAACATTATTAGGGGGTGATTCAGTTTGCAATCAATAAAAGTTACCTGATGTTTTGGTGAGTATAAACTTCTCTCATTGAAATAGGGTACATAATGTTTTAAAAACTGATGGATTAGCAATTAATTGTCATAGTGTAGGCTACTTAGAATGAACTTCTTTTGCCGCATAAATTATTCCTTACTCATAAAGTTTCAACATTAATTCTGCAATTTTTACTGCGTTTAACTCAACTGTTGGACATACTTACATTCAGCCACTAAAATTTTAAATTAAATAACAGTGAGACCACTAAGTGGAAAGTCCATTCAAAGAGTTAAAATTATTTTTTTTTTGGTTCACTCATTATAAAAAGTATTTCCTGTAAGAGGTATTTAATTTATCAATAAAAGTGTGCGTCAAGCCAAGCCCCTTCGGCCACAAAAGTATTTTTTCTTTTAACAGAGTATAACGTCTAGGAATGTGACTTGAAACATGAAGATAAGAAAATTGTACTTATACCTATTATGCACTCCGTTGAACTTGAGCGATTCAGGTAATAATCGACTGAATTTCAACCTCAAGTTACAATGGCCTCAGTCAGAAAATTAATTGAAAAAGAGAAAAACTTGCTGCAAATATTACACTGTAAGCTTACCCACCGGGGGGGCTACCGCCACTCTTGATACAGTATGCCTATATTGACGCTATAGCGGAGAATATTTTGATTTATTTTGCTTAGAGTCGCTTCACCACATAATTTGTCGAATCGTATAACTGGCATGTAAGTAAGCATTTAAATTTGAATGGCGTCTTTTGATTCATGAAAGATAATGAAGGCTACCTCTCAGTTACCTGGTAGTTCAAGAATTCCTAGTAATTTTGTTGTCCACTGTCGGACTAAAAACACCACCCCCAAACTCTTCATCAGAGCATGTTCCACAGTTGGTGCCTAGGCGCAAACTTTTTGATCATAAACGCTATCGATTGGTCTAATCTTTTTTGGCTTTGATTCACCCGATTACATTTATTCCATTAAGAACTAGGTAGGCACGCGAACCATACATAGACCCAACGCTCAATTAATTTCAGAGTGCACTGTTTCACTGGAGTAATTATGCTAGAAACTCACTAGGTGAAGATGGAATACTTCTGTGACACAACAACCAACAACACCACAATATTTTCACATCAAGAGTGGCGGTAGCCATCCCCGGTCGAGGAAAATGACGACCTACTAAAGTCCCTATAGCAAAGGGGTGGCCGACACTCTTAGTCACACCTAACTCCCTTAATCTGAAAATTGATTAGATATAGAATGGAATTCAGAGCAAACAGCGGCACGGATTCCAACGATCTTGGTGTCTTTGGACACAGCTAAGTTAGCCGGATGTCATTTAAGGGTTTATTATCTAACAGTCGGTAGCTGCACCATCAGTGTAAGTCCATAACATAACCTAACTATTTGATGTGTTTACATCAAGTTTTCATGTGTTAAAATAGAGAAGGAATGGGCGCTAGTACTTACGATTGGTACGATTGGCCCAGCGATTTATGCAGCAATATAAATTCTTGATTTTATGGTAAATCATCAAGCTGAGAAAATAGAACGAGTACATACCTTTCATGAAAGACTTTCTTACACATTGACTGGCCACATGGTGCTTCTAACAACTTCTGACACAAAATCAAAGAGACTCGAAGAAAACCAAATTCAAGCTAATACTCATCGTCAAAGATCTCTGATTTAGGGACATAAAGTTGACTTAGTGATTGAATTATACCTCGCATCCCCGCATATCTCCATGATGTAAACAAGCAACGGTAAGAGGCGAAGCTTTCCAAGATTAGTCATGAAGAACACAAGATCTTAATGTCAATAACATACACTTAGGGAAAGCACAAGCACTCCAGAGCACGTAGGTTGAATGCAAAATTTCAAG